CAGCAGTTCTCATCCACACAATAAGATCTTCCTGTTGACTCAACTGTTATACATAATACAAAAGACAAGGTCAGGCAACCGGTCCACATCAACAGCGTTTCTTTCATAATGGCAACAGTTGTTTTCCGAGTTCTAATGTCAAGAACATGTCAAGAACAAAGCGCCATAGCTCATACATCAAGACTCGAGATAAAACAAGTTTTAACTTACTGGTATGGATTCATTAAGGCTTTTTCCACCTTTCAGAGTACCATTCTGAAAGTTTTTGGGAAATACGTTCTTGCCGAATTTGTGTTCCCGGTCACTCTTCCACGAGATACCCTGCTTGTTCACAGCAACTTGTTTGTTGTTAAGGGTGAAGCTATAAGTATCATTAAACAAACTCCAAGCTATTAAACCACAGGGCACGATTGGCTGCCCGTTTGCATTGTCTTCAGGCTTGCAAGAGCCTACATCACGCTCGCTGCCAGCATCTCTCAATTGCTTATCACTACGGCTCTGCACGTATCTGATTTACACAGCATCATGAAAAAGTTTGAGAATGAAACACCTCCAAGCAAATAAAATATTCTTTACAGCATAAGATCGAGAAAAACATATAAGAAGATTCCAGGTACTTATATGCAGAATACTAGAAAAAAGTAAACACTCGAAGCTAGTTAACCACAGGATATGCATTTTTTTTAAGAAAAAACCTACCTCAAATGCTTCCAGCACCAATCATACATAAAAAAAAGAGAACAATGTACCTGCGGTGATTCTGATAGAAATTGTCAAGCTGGTAATAGACATATATTGGTTGCTTCATTCGTTTTGTCACCTACACAAAAATAGATGCAAAAATACATATTACGAAAGAGACTTTGAAAGGCATCCCGATTCCTGGGACATTAATTTAACTACGTATAACAAGATCATCTCGAGCCAAGAAATTCTTTCATTTGCTATAATTTCCACAAACACAAGCAACTTTTCAAGCCTTGGAAAATTTGCCATATAAGAATCAAGTATGGAAATAGCTAGGATGCCAGAATCTTACAGTTATATTTCGGCTGCAGCTTTTACTGACAGGGCCCTGTATGAACCCGACCTTGTCGTTTCTAAATCTTTCTGGTATACACTCAGTTTCATAACGATCAATTATTTCAACAACCTAATGAAGAGGAAAAGCACCTCAAATCAGTTGAAGAACAAACATGCCATGAACGTAAAATCGACGAAGGAAGAAGAAAAGTATTCTCGTTTGAACGTACATCTCTGGAAGCAAACAAGGAAGCGACTCCAATGGGAACAAAGATAATGCTAACTAACATGAACGCGGAAATCACCTGCACGGGGAAAGATTCCACTTTGTTCCTTAATTTTGAATACAATGAAGATCAAAATAGATATCTATTAAAACAAGAACAATAACAGAGCCTACCCATTTTGGTGTGAGAATAGGTTTACACGCTGGAAGCTCCTGCTGGGTAAACCTCGAATCTAGATAAGAATTTCGCTTCAGATTCCATATAAATTGGAGAAATTTAAACCAAACGTGAAGAAAAATTTAAGCTAACAGAATGATAAACATGCCTTTATTCCTAACTTCCAAACAGGAAATTTGAAAGCATAAACCTAATCTTAGAAAAGTCATCAGTTCATCATTTTATCATTACATGATCATACAAAGAACATGAGAGCGTCTAATTTACAAACACTCAGGTATAAATGTTTATAACCCTCAATAATCATCACCAATCAACTCTCGTATAGGAAGAACCCTAAACCTCTAAAACCAGTGAATTCCCTCGGAGGAGGAAAACCAAATTCAAAACCCTAATCGCTGCTTTAAAATGTTAGCATAAACATACAAAAGTTCAATCGAAGAAGATCAAACCGTGAAAGAAAAGTAAGAAAAAAAGCAAGTTCCATACCGCCAAAAAAAGAAACTCACAAATTGAAATAACAAATCGATGAAAACTCACATTTCGGCCGCTTCGAATTCCTTCTATTAGACGATGGATCGTTCGATTCCGTACCTCCGGAGCTAGACGCGGTGTTCGAACTCATAATAACTGGATTCCCCTTCGCTTCTAAAAGCTCTCAAACCCCAATCAGAAGAAAACCCAGTTAAATAGACACGAAGAAAAAGATGGGTTCCGCGTCAAAACTAGCGGAGATTTCAGAGAAAAGAGGAAATCAAACAAAGATTAAACAATAGAAGGAAGCTGTTTGACTTTAATCGTATAATACTTGTTTAATCCAATCTGAAATTCTAAAACAATCAATCAATCAATCAATCTACTCTTTCTCTCTCTAAGGCCGGCGAAGAGAAAGCAGCAGCCCTTTCTTTCTCTCTCCTCTCCTTGACGGAGAAGGGAAGAAGAAAGGAAGAACACGACGGATGAGGGGAAAAGGGAGAAGCGAAGAAGAGTCAAAAGCAAAGCCCGAAAACAGAACCGATTCAGTTTGGAGCAATGGAATGAAATCAAATTCAACACGGTTGAACTAAACTAGGTTTGCTGTAATTCTCTCTCTAATTAACAATTTGTGTTTAATTAACTTAATTATCATCTTCCCTTCGTTGAAAAAATTAAGTGTTTTTCTTTTTGTAGGAAGCTTATTTATTAATTAATTAATCAATTAATTAATTAATTAATTAATCAATTAATTAATTAATCAATTAATTAATTAATTAATTAATTGTTTTGAATCTTTGACCATTCTTTTTTGGACAAATCAGAGAGAGAGAAAAATAAGGTGGATTTTTACTTGCGCTGTCTTTATAATAATGTATTATTCGTCTGAATAATTGAGTTTGACCAACCGTGTCAGGGGTAGAATTGTAATTTTGTGCTCTGGTAGGAAGATTTTTTTTTCCCCTCTTATTTGGATCGTTGACTAGGGATTTAATGGCTGTTTGGTCTTAAAATTTTGGTTTTTTTAATGGTGTTTTGGGCCACCTTTCATACAAAGTCTAGAAGGTCGAACACGAAAGTACGAGGAAGATAAGTAAATATAACATGACAATTAAAGTCGAGCGTTAAAAGCGTTAGACAAAAACAAAAGTTAGTGAAGCTTAGTTCAAAAATAGGAGAGTCGTGATTGTCTACCCGTGATATACATGCAACACTTGTACGTCTCACGACATCTGGAGATTTAAGGAATGAATGGAATTTCGAGATGTTGATTGACCAATAGAGCTTCGACTATTATTAAATAGTCGGGATATAATGAAATTATTCGTATAGTAACTTGCATTGGGATGAGACCATATCATCGTTCTTTTTAGGCCGAATGCGATTCTCTCAAGTTGTGTGAATGTCGAGCACATCCTAACACTATGTGCCTTGATCCTACTCCATCATTTTTGTCGGTTGGTGTGGTAGACATGTCCTCCCCAAATGTTGGCTCGGAGACGTATAAAATTTGAAACTTTGTATTGATGTCATCGTCTAGGTTTATAGTTATCGTTGAGGCTATGTCATTCAAAGTCTTCACCTCTACATGAGTTGCCCTATCTTGAAATTCTGCATTGATATCATCATCTAGGTATGTGGTTGTTAATGAGGTCGTGTCATTCGGAATCTCTACTCCTGCAGACAACTGCTAGGTCATCGAAATATGGAAATGACTTATTTTTCTGACCCCGAGTAGTGGGGTGTCCCTACATAGAACATGTTTTTTTAATTAATTTTTTTTTTACTTATCTACCATATATGTTATATTATAAGTAAAATCTGATAAAGTTCAAATATTAAACATTCACACGTTACAATTCACCACTAATATTGGATACGAACATCAAATATTATTAATTTTCATAATAATCTCAAAAGTATAATAGGGTGAGATTGGATTGTAACCCTATTTTCAAATTGGTCAGGTTGACCCAAATAAAAAATGTCAACTGAGAATCCACTCGAATTTTTATGTGTTTCAAAAATTCAAACCAACCCAAATTAGAAAAAAAAAAAAAAAAAATCTAACTCAACCTAACATTCACCATTTGAGTTGGGTAATCAGAATTAGTGGGATTATCGAGTTATTTGAACACACATACAATAGATCAAGACAAAGACGGTATTTCTCAATATCCGGTGAAACTTTGTTATAGATATTGGAATTCACAATTAATTATTTATTTTTTAATATTATGCATATGCTTAAATTAAGTGAGTTATGAACTCTGTACACATGAATATAACTTTAGTAGCCGATTTAATGTACATACCATTTTCGAGACTTGAACAAATAAGGAGCTAAAAACGTCATCCTATAAGATAAAATACACTCGTTCGATATAAAAAAATGTAGATGAATAGTTTCTTTAAGTGATGATTCTAGGACTTGAAAAATGGGTATTCACTCTCTTTCTCACTCGAAATAAGCTTAATTTATGATATAATTAAAAGGATAAAACAGACTTTTGACTCCAGAGTAATTAAAAGAATAAAATAGGTTAATTTAGGACCTGAAAAAGGGATATTCACTTTCTCACCAGCTCCAAATAAGCTTAATTTATGATATAATTAAAAGGATTAGTAGACTTTTGACTCAGCCGTAATTAAAAGAATAAAACAGGTAAATTTAAGACTTAAAAAATGGGTATTCACTTTCACACTTGTTTGAAAACAGCTTAATTTATTATATAATTAAAAGGATAAAACAGACTTTTGACTCAACAGTAAATAAAAATTACTATATAAGGATAAAATAATTAGTACCACGATTCAAAGATTACGGTAAAATTTAAAAAATAATCTTAGTAACCTTAACCTTTAATCTTTTATCCATTCATATGTTAATGGTAATTTTATTTTTTATTTTGAAAATTGAAAAGTATTATTTACTTAAAATTTAAAAAATACTTTTAAATGTATGAGGGTATAATTGGAATATAGAATTGTCAATGATATTTTTAAGAATATTATTAAAAGATAGTTCTTACCCTCGGTTATTTTTATTAATTTAACTTTTTAAAAGGTTTATCCAATACCGGAATTCGTGTAGATAAGGTGAGCACTAATAGTTCACTGTGCAGAGCCACACATGCACTGAGGAGAAGAATCAACAGAGATAACGGAGATGACTATGACCGTCGCTACAAGAGCAATCGCAACGGCTCGATCAGCGGTGCGAGCGAGCAGGCTCCGCAATGTGTTTACTGCGCAGAAATCTCAGTCTCACGCTCTTCTCATTCGTCAGGTAATCGCATTGTTCCTTCCTTTGTTCTTCATTGGTCATTTGAGTTTCTAGAATTGGAGCTTATGCCAATGTGCTTGAATGCCAGATGAGCTCGGAGGCGCAGAGCATGCGCTCCGAGGAGCAGAGCATCGCCGCTCGTCTTCGTAGTTCTGGATTGTTCCGAAGCCAAGGCCTCATTGGCGGCCAGTGGATTGATGCTTACGATGGGAGGACCATTAAGGTATGTCAAAAATCAAAAATTAAAAAATATTCTAAAAAAACACAACCATCGTCTTATGTGTTTAAATATGAAATTTAGAGAAAATAAAAATAAATACAAAATAGTTTAAAACAATGGAATGCAAAACAACTTATTCTAACTTGACTAGGAATTTAAATATGAGTCTACTATGCCACAGTCTCTGCTTGCGATGTCGCCGTCCTTCGTACAAGTGTGTTTTTCCTTTACCTGAAAAATGATGTGGCACACGGCCTGAATATTTTAAAGCATACTCAGTAAGTGGCCCCACTATAGAGGGTCATGCAAATGCAAATACATGCAATCATGATTTAGGGACCTATCTCTAATCATCATAAGGGTGACCTCCGGACAAATTGGATGTGTAGTACTTCCCTACACACGACTCACACGTGTGAGTGTGAATCCCCAGGACGGTCGCACATGCCCTGCACCCTTTGGTCAAGCTAATCTATAACAACAGCGGAACCCTATAGTGTTATGCGCCTCATGAACACTCTCATTTGTGTGAATTTGTATTTTTCCCAATTTAAATAATTGAAAAAGAAATAATTTTAAATTAGTATGGCCGTGACATTCTTTCCCTTTAAACTAGTCATTATTCTGGATGACTTTCTCAATGTAGCAATCTGGAATCTGGAAGGGGACCTTCTCTCCTACTTAACTTTTTTATTTTGTCGATGATGATCTGAACCTGCCTCAGACATGAATACGATTTTTTTTTTTTTTTTTTTTTTTTTTTTTTTTTTTTTTTTTTTTTTTTTT